CTGTATTTCTCAGTCTACTTAGAAATAGCTAGTGACAAGTGAAACATGCAGATAGTTTGTCAAAACTCATCAAAGCCACAGGATATAACAAATTGGGAAACTAATTTCTTACTGGATTTGAAAAAAATATGTAAACGCAGGTAGAATATGTGCCATTTGTGGACTGTGATTACTTGCCTTCTTCCAAATGGTTAATTACTATACGAAGAATAATAAAAATGTAAGGGAACTAGGCTTTTGTTGAAATCATTTCTTTAGAATATTGGCTGTGCTTTGCTTTGCTCATCTAATTTTTTTTTTGATTCATGCACCAGCCACACCCTCATAAGTGCACATTTCTAGACAAATAAATTATACTCGTGTTGCTTTGTTGTGGACTAACCAAATACATTCTTTTGTTCAAAGATGGGTGGAACAAGACCCAAAGGAAATTCTGCAGTCTGTCTATGAGTGTATAGAGAAAACATGTGAGAAACTTGGACAGCTCAATATTGACATTTCCAACATAAAAGGTATTTTTAATAGACTATTTTTCTCCGTGCATGATTATCTCCATCAAGTTCATTCGTTCATTCACTGCATGATCGAGTGCCTGTGCCGTAGCAAGTATTTCTGTGAGAACTGAGGATGGGACCGTAAATGGGAAGATTAGGTCCCCGTTCGCAGGAAGCTTTTATTTCGGCGGGTGTGAGACCAACAGTAAGAACACACCGATACAAGCTGATTTCAGATACTGATCAGTCGGATGCAGAAACTAAAACTGCGTGGTATGGTGGGGCGTGCCTAGACAAGCTTACCTTAGGTTGGATGGCTAGAGAAGGGCTCTCTGAGGAGGTGACAGCTTTGCTGAGGTCTCAAAAGCCAAAAGGGGGCAATCGTGCAAATATCTGGGAGAAGAGAGTTTCAGGAAAAGGAAACCGCGTGTGCAAAGGTCCTGGGGTGGGAATAAGTTTGGCCTATTCCTGGATCAGGAAAACACCAGCATGTCTAAAGGGGAGGAAAAGAAGGATGAGGGCGGGGGTGGATAAGGGGTTTCAGTAGGAGCCGAAATCAGGGAAGTGGCTAGGGCCACCAGCTGCAGGAAGGTTTTAAGCAAGGCGACGGGATTATGACAGGATCTGACTTGAAGTTTAAAGACAACTTCCTGACTGCGGTGTGGAGCTGTGTGTGGGGTGGACGGTAAAGGTATGAGTGTAGACACAGGGAGACCAATGCTGCTGTGGAAGTCTTGAGACAGAGGATGGTGACCGGACAGTGGCAGCAGTGGAGGCGAAGTGAAGGGGCAGAACTTGCTGATAGATTGGATGTCAGGGTAGTAGGGACAGTAGCGCTGTCCGGGGAAGTGATGGGCCAGAGACGATGCTTGGGTTTTTTGCTGGAGCTCCTAGATCTGTCGGGGAACAGCTTGGGGGAGCGGTATTGGAAATCAAAACATTTCACTTCCAGAATCTCCCTGAAATCAGTGACAGAGGTAGATTATTACAGATCTCTATTAATTCCAGGCAGTGTTCATAGACCATCTATCTCCGTTTGCGTTTGCGTCATTCATTCCAGGAGAAAACAATCACCCGCTCATCAACGATTGATAATGCTAGCCTGAAGGGTGGAAACATCACTCGGTGATGGTCGTCTCTTTACAGTTTAAAAATTTCAGGTTCATCATTCAAGGGCCATGTTTTTCTGTTTTAGGTAATTTGACTCTAGATAAGGGTAACCATCAATTGGTAGTGGTGGTTTCTTGATTCACATCCTGTCGACTCTGAGATTTACCAACACCCAATCAATCAATTTACTTATTGGTTTAGGTGGAGATACTGGGGAGAAAGTTGCATTTTTTTTTCAACCTTTCCTCCATGTGTGTCCATAAAACTTACCCTAACAAGACTAAACCTAGGGGTGCCTGCGTGGCTCAGTCGGTTGAACGTCTGACTCTTGATTTCTGCTCAGGTCATGATCTCACGGTTGGTCATGAGATCGAGCCCCTAGTCGGGCTCTGCGCTGGGTGTAGAGCCTGCTTCAGATTCTCTCTCTGTCCCTCTGCCCCTCACCCACTCACGCATCTGTGTTCTGTATCTTTAAAAAACATAAAGGGGGGGGGACAAGAGACTAAACATAATCAAAACCATTCGTTCAGCAGACTCACGTGCGAGGAATGCCAGGGCAACAGTGGAGTACAAATAGGGTCGTGCGGCTAACAGCCAAGTGAGGGAAACAGGTGTCAATGCCATCACACCTTAGTGGAGTATCGTACCCTCATTTCGTCCCTGTGTCTCTGTGGACGTGCCTTAGACTTCATTTTTTCTTTTTTAATGGTTATTTTTATTTTCGAGAGAGAGAATGAGTGACACCGCGAGCAGAGAGGGAGACAGTATCGCTGTCAGTGCAGAGCCCAAATGCAGGGCTCGAACCCATGAACCGTGAGATCATGACCTGAGCCCAAGTCGGATGCTTAACCGACTGAGCCACCCGGGCGCCCCTCAAACTTCTTTTAGAGCTGCATTCACCAGGTTTTAGATGAGTTGTGTATCAAAGTGACAGCCGGTTGTCTCCTTGAACTGTCCTCGCAGCTTTTGCAGTGTGAACAACCTACACGTGTAAGAGGCATTCGGTAGTGCACCCATTACTAAGATATCCATTACTGAAGATGCGTAAGATCTAGGTGGCTTATAAAGCCATGTTCAGGATGTGGATTCCAGGGTGGTCAGCCTTGGTTTTGACCTCATTCTATCTCCCTTATCGGTCAGGTAGGCTGCAGTGTGTTGGCCTTCTGGACCGTGAGACTCGGAGAGCGTTCCTTTCCCTCTGGCTTTTGTGATATCTGTGAAAGTGACACACAACTCCAGTCGAAGTGACTTGTCTTCCCCTGGCCCTAATGCGGCTCTCTGTTCTACACTCCTCCGTGGCTCACCACTGGCAAACCCATACCTGAGCCAAAGTGACCCAGCACTTCCTTCTCAACAAACACCGGCGGATGAGCTAGGTAGATGATGTTCCACAACCCCCTCCATACCAGGCCACTTGTGCTAATGTTTTTTCCCCAGGTAGTTTGTTGAACTATGTAGAACTCTAGATCTCACAACGCTCGTGCTCCAAAGGATTTTCCGTCACCTAAAGCTAGCTACAAGTGAGGGGAAAGGACTTACTGGAAGTCCTGTAGCTACATAGCAGCAGATCACATTAACATTTATTTATTTTTGAGACAGAGAGAGACAGAGCATGAACGAGGGAGGGTCAGAGAGAGAGGGAGACACAGAATCCGAAACAGGCTCCAGGCTCTGAGCGGTCAGCACAGAGCCTGACGCGGGGCTCGAACTCATGGATGGGACTGCAAGATCATGACCTGAGCCGAAGTCGGACGCTCAACCGACTGAG